CACGCTTGGTCACGCTTGGTTACGCTTGGTCACACTTGGTCACGCTTGGTCATACTTTGGCATGCTTGGTCCCAATTGGTTACGGTTTGTCACCCTTGGGCACGCTTGGTCACACTTGGTCACGCTTGGTTACGCTTGGTGACACTTGGTCACGCTTGGTCACGCTTGGTCCCGCTTGGTCACACTTGGTCACGCTTGGAATTGCTTGGTCACGCTTGGTTACACGCTTGGGTACGCTTGGTCACACTTGGTCACGCTTGGTCATGCTTGGGCACGCTTTGTCACACTTGGTCACGCTTGGTCACGCTTGGTCGCACTTAGGCACGCTTGGTCACGCTTGGTCACGCTTGGTCAAGCTTGGTCACACTTGGGCACACTTGGTCACGCTTGGTCATGCTTGGTCACACTTGGTCACGCTTGGGCACACTTGGTCACGCTTGGTCACAATTGGGCACACTTGGCCACGCTTGGGCTTGGAAACGCTTGGTCACGCTTGGGCACGCTTGGTCACACTTGGTCACACTTGGTCACGCTTGGTCACACTTGGGTACACTTGGTCACACTTTGTCACGCTTGGTCACACTTGGGCACGCTTGGTAACACAATTGGTCACGCTTGGTCAGGCTTGGTCACACTTGGGCATGCTTGGTCACACTTGGTGACGCTTGGTCGCACTTGGTCACGCTTGGTCACGCTTGGTCACGCTTGGGCACGCTTGGTCACGCTTGACCACGCTTGGTTACGCTTGGTCACACTTCGTCACGCTTGGTCACACTCGGTCACGCTTGGTCCCACTTGGTTACGCTTGGTTACCCTTGGGCACGCTTGGTCACACTTGGTCACGCTTGGTTACGCTTGGTCACACTTGGTCACGCTTGGTCACGCTTGGTCACGCTTGGTCACGCTTGGTCACGCTTGGTTACGGTCGGTCACACTTGGGCACGCTTGGTCACACTTGGTCACGCTTGGAATTGCTTGGTCACGCTTGGTTACACGCTTGGGTACGCTTGGTCACACTTGGTCACGCTTGGTCATGCTTGGGCACGCTTTGTCACACTTGGTCACGCTTGGTCACGCTTGGTCGCACTTAGGCACGCTTGGTCACGCTTGGTCACGCTTGGTCAAGCTTGGTCACACTTGGGCACACTTGGTCACGCTTGGTCATGCTTGGTCACACTTGGTCACGCTTGGGCACACTTGGTCACGCTTGGTCACAATTGGGCACACTTGGCCACGCTTGGGCTTGGAAACGCTTGGTCACGCTTGGGCACGCTTGGTCACACTTGGTCACACTTGGTCACGCTTGGTCACACTTGGGTACACTTGGTCACACTTTGTCACGCTTGGTCACACTTGGGCACGCTTGGTAACACAATTGGTCACGCTTGGTCAGGCTTGGTCACACTTGGGCATGCTTGGTCACACTTGGTGACGCTTGGTCGCACTTGGTCACGCTTGGTCACGCTTGGTCACGCTTGGGCACGCTTGGTCACGCTTGACCACGCTTGGTTACGCTTGGTCACACTTCGTCACGCTTGGTCACACTCGGTCACGCTTGGTCCCACTTGGTTACGCTTGGTTACCCTTGGGCACGCTTGGTCACACTTGGTCACGCTTGGTTACGCTTGGTCACACTTGGTCACGCTTGGTCACGCTTGGTCACGCTTGGTCACGCTTGGTCACGCTTGGTTACGGTCGGTCACACTTGGGCACGCTTGGTCGCACTTGGCTACGCTTGGTCACCCTTGGGCACTCTTGGTCAGACTTGGTCACGCTTGGTCACACTTGGTCACGCTTGGTCTCGCTTACTACCGTATGGATGCCCAGTTTCATCTTACTCGTGCCTCCCGTCCTTCGTCGCTTCATCGCTCGTCGCTCGTCACCAGGGGCTACCGTCAACGCGCGCGACGCCACGGGGTGCACGGCGCTGCATCTAGCGGCAGCGGTGTCAACGGGAGTTGTGTGTTGGTCCCGTCCTCGCTTGGGCGGAGCCGACTTCGTGGTCGGGTGTGACGGGAGCAGCCGACCTGCAGCAGTGGCCGAGCTGGTTGACGAGGAGGTCGACCTGCACGGGGACCACTGCACTGGCACCGACTTCAGGGTGGCGCCGACTTCATGGAGGTCGACTTGGGAAGTCGACCTGCGGAGGACGTCAACTTGGTGACGTCAACTTGGGGCAGCCGACCTGGGTGGTTGGCTGACGGACTGCTGGTCGACCTGGTGGTTGGTCGACCAGGCCTGCTGGTCGACCTGATGGTGGTCGACCTGATCTGGTGGTTGGCGAAGGAGGGGCCGACGTCGACCTCAACTCAGGACGCCGAGCAGTTGGGCGTCGAGTAGCTGGGCGTCAACTTCGTGACTCCGACTTCGGGTAGCCGACTTGGGTGGTCTGCTGACAACTGCGCTGGTCGACATGAAGCTGGTCGACCAGGACTGCTGGTCGACGTGGAGCTGGTCGACCAGAAGTGACGTCGACCTCGAGCTGGTCGACCAGGGGCGTGGTCGACCTGGTGAGGTCGACTTGGAGGTGGTCGTCGACTTGGGAGGCCGACGGGCACGTAAGGGAGCAGCTGGTCGACGTGGTTGCCCGGTCGAACAGGTTACCTAGGTGACGAGGTTCTGCGGAGGAGTGCGACGGTCGCCCAGGCGAAGTTGGCGAGTCCGACCTCGGTGGTGGTATCCCGAGGTCGACATGGCGGATCAGGTGGAGTCGTCAGCACGAGGATGACATGGTGTGTGCGTTGTGCAGGTGACGAGGCTCAGCCCGCCAATCATCTGCGAGCACCTGCAAAGCGGGTGCACTGCTGTTCTGCGGGAGCAATGCTGGCACACCGTCAACCTGCGACGTTGGCATGCCGTCGACCTTGCACTGCTGGAGCGCGGTCGACCAAGTCGTGCTGGAACGCGGTCGACCATGCTGCGTTGGCAGTCGACCGACCTGAATGCTAGCTCTGATGTAGTCTAGCCATGCCAGCTTCATTGTACCATTGTTGTCAACTTTCTCTAATGAAACCCTTGCCAAATTGCCCCGTGAACTAGCAAGCAGTGTGTGCACTAGGAAAACGACTAAGGAACAGAGAACGCAGAGATCACACGAGCCCCCGTGCCTAGCCCATAGTCTACCTCCCGTTGTAGTAGTTATCTCCGCAAGCGGCGGGCCGGCGGTCAGCATCACAACGGCGTCAACGGGCCACACGTGAGTGCGGAAATGTTGAAAATGATTATCACTCGTCGAAAATAATATATATTCTGAAGCCGCAATCATGCGGTGAAAATGGGTAAAACAGTAACAGTAACCGTAACTGTAGCTTAAGCTGCTCCTTTGTAGCCCAGCCTCGGCGCTGCAACAGTTCCTGGATCTGATCTTATCCCTTGAATCCCCAACGAAGCGTGCCCAAGTGTGACCAAGCTTGACCAAGCGTGACCAAGTGTGACCAAGCGTGCCCAAGTGTGACCAAGCGTGCCCAAGAGTAACCAAGCATGACCAAGCGTGACCAAGCGTAACGAAGCGTTACCAAGCGTGACCAAGCGTGACCAAGCGTGACCAAGTGTGACCAAGCATGACCAAGCGTGACCAAGCGTGCCCAAGCGTGACCAAGCGTGACGAAGTGTGACCAAGCGTGACCAAGTGTGACCAAGTTTGACCAAGTGTGACCAAGCGTGACCAAGCGTGACCAAGTGTGACCAAGCGTGCCCAAGTGTGACCAAGCGTGACCAAGCGTGACCAAGTGTGACCAAGTGTGACCAAGCGTGACCAAGCGTGGCCAAGCGTGACCAAGTGTGTGACCAAGTGCGCGCCTGGACCAAGTGCGCGCTTGGACCAAGTGCGCGCCTGGACTAAGTGCGCGTCTGGACCAAGAGTGCGCCTGGAGCAAGTGCGGCCTGGTCCAAGTGCGGCCCGGTCCAAGTGCGCGCCCGTACCAAGTGCGCGCCCGGACCAAGTGCGCGCCCGGATCAAGTGCGCGCCCGGACCAAGTGCGCGCCTGGTCCAAGTGTGCCTCTGGACCATGTGCGCGCCTGGACCAAGTGCGCGCCTGGACCAAGTGCGCGCCTGGACCAAGTGCGCGCCAGGTCCATGTGCGCGCCTTGTCCAAGTGCGCGCCCGGACCAAGTGCGCGCCCGGACCAAGTGCGCGCCTGGGGACCAAGTGCGTGCCTGGACCAAGTGCGCGCCTGGACCAATTGCGCGCCAGGTCCATGTGCGTGCCTGGTCCAAGTGCGCGCCTGGTCCAAGTGCGCGCCTGGTCCAAGTGTGCGTCTGGACCATGTGCGCGCCTGGACCAAGTGCGCGCCTGGACCAAGTGCGCGCCCGGACCAAGTGCGCGCCTGGACCAAGTGCGCGCCCGGACCAAGTGCGCGTACGGACCAAGTGCACGCCTGGTCCAAGTGCGCGCCTGGTCCAAGTGCGCGCCTGGTCCAAGTGCGCGCCTGGTCCAAGCGCCTGGTCCAAATGCGCGCCTGGTCCAAGTGCGCGCCTGGTCCAAGTGCTCGCACTCGCGGGCTGGCTGGCTGGCGGGTTGGCGGGGCGGGCTGGCGGGCTGGTGGGCTGGCGGGCTGGCGGGTTGGCGTGGCGGGTTGGCGGGGCGGGTTGGCGGATTGGATGCCTGGCGGGCTCGTGGGTTTTGAACTTTCGACCTTCCTTTTCCACATAACTTATCTACCATTCGAGCTGGGCTACATGGCAATTTCCCTGTGTTACAATACCCAGGTGTGAAGCTAATCCATGTGTTACCATCTAATTCCCTGTATGCTACCGGTATATACCGGTTAGAGGTGGGGGGCATTCTTCAAATCCCCCCAACATAAGCTAGGATGTACATTATAGTGACAGCAGGTTTTGTTTGCTGGGGGGAAGGGGTGAGTGCTCTAGTATATCGTACCTACTACGGTCGTATATCATAAACAGTTTATTTAATTCAACACACCTACATAAGCACACCACACCACAATACATAAGGGTTGTCAACACAATAATGTAAAAGTCAGTAGTCACATCAGTTATCAGACCCTCTGCTGGCACTGTTGCTGTGAAAGGATGGCCTGGTAAAGCTCGATGTTGAAAGCCTGCAGTGGGAAGGAAGCATCAGGCAGCACATGTAAGAATCAAAGCTTAATAACACATTGGCAACAGCTGGTTGCAGTGCAATTTCATGTTGTTTTGACAGAAATAGAAACCCCGAGCAAGAAAGGGAATTCCAGGGAAAAATTGCACCCCTCCTGATTGCATGCATAATCAAGCAAAAAAAAGCTCAGGACAAAGTCAAAGAGCACCACAAGAAAACTGTTCATCACCTGCTGCTGTTGTTGTTGTTGCTGTTGTTGCTCCGCCTGCTCTTGCTGCAACCGCTTCTCCAGCTCTTGCTTCTTCTGCAATTGCATCCACCTGTGCTGCAGCTGCAGCTGCAGCTGTTGCCGCATGTAAAACGCCTCTACCGCATCACCCGCTGCTGTTGATCTTTTATCCTGACCACCCGCCTCCGCACCTGCCCTCCCCATAAGACCTGCTATCTCCCCTGCACTGACTCCCCCTCCAGCCATCAACCGGCTCATATCTGCCAGCCCCTCTGCCTCACTTGCTCCTCCCTCGCCCCCTCCCCCACCATTGCTGCACGTGCCTGGAGCTGCTGTTGTTGCTGCACTCATCGCTTGCATGGCATGCAGCTGCTGCAGCAAACGGGCACGACGAGACGACGCTGCACGCATGCCCTCCACACTTGCACTGCTGGACGTCACTCCTGCTAGCGCTTCTAATTCTGCTCCCCCTCCTCCTCCCGCTCCTGCTGCTTCTCCTGCTGCAGCAGAAGGTGATTTCCGACATGCCATACTCTCCTCTAAGGCCCCTTGCTGCTGCAGTTGCTGCAGGTTCTGTTGCTGCTGCAGATTTTGCCGCAGCAAGATCTGGTGCTGCTGCAGGTTCTGTTGTTGCTGCAAATTCTGCTGCTGCTGCTGCAGGTTCTGCAGCTGGCGCAGCTTCTGCTGCAGGAGAGTGAGCTGATCCAGGCCTGCAGGGGCCTCGCCCATGCCGCCACCACCGCCGCCACCGCCACCACATGCCATCTCCATCAGCATTCGCTGCTGGGCAGACATGGACCCAAGCTCTCCCAACCCCGCATTTATCCCCATACCAGCCCCCATATCCATGCCCATTCCCATACCCATTCCCAAGCCCATCCCCATGCCCATGCCCATATCCGAACCGGACAGCCCCAGGCCTCCAATACCCGAACCTATGCCTCCCATGCCATGTTCTGAAGGCAGGCCGGCGGCGGCACCCGAGCCTGCAAGCTGCTGCAAGGCAGCAGCGGTGGGCGAGGTAGCGGCAGGCAGGGAGGAGGGCGGTGCGCGAGAGTGCGGAGTGGTAGGAGCGGCTATTTGAGCCGCGACCGCAGAGAGGGAGAGGGAAGGCGAGGCGGAGAGGGAGGGAGAGGCGGCAAGGGAGGAGAGAGCGGCGGGCGTGGGGGCGAGGGCTGGTGGGATGCTGATGCCCGTGCGGAGAGACATAACCTGATGGCGAGGGGGACGCAGGGGGGAGCACAGGAGACAGAAGAGACGTATGAGACAGAGAGAAGGTAAAGTGCGCAGCAGGACGGTACACAAAACAGGGTAGGGATGGCAGTGTGCTGTGCAGTGGGGCGGTGTGGAGCAGATGAGCAGTGTGGTGTGGAGCAGTGGTGTGAGGTGTTAAAGGTGCGTGTGGGGGGCGGCATTACATGGAGCTGCAGCTGCAGCATCTTGAGGTAGTCTATGGCCTCATCCAGCACCGACGCCTTGTCCGTCTGCACCACACAGCACCGCACACACGCAGACGGAAAGAGAGGGAGATGGAGAGTGCGAGAGGTTAGACACGGAACGCACGAGCAGAGAAGGCAGAGGACACAGAGCAAGCGAGGGTGGGGGGGAGAAGAGCGAGAGGCGAGGGGAGCTAGCAAGGGAAGAGGGGGAGGGAGCGAAGGGGGAGGTGGAGCGAGCAGCGGGAGGAGGAAGAGCGGGCGAGGGGCGAGCGGGAGGCGGTGAGGGAGAGCGAGGGAGCGACCTTGTTGGAGTTGGGGATGAGCTCCTGCAGTGCCTTCATGCGCTCGTTGATGCGGTCGCGCCGACGCTGCTCACGCGCACACATGCGCACAAACACACAAACGCACACACAGAGAAGAGGAGCGAGTTATACGCAGGGGAGGTGGTGGCTGCAAGTTGCTATCGCACGACTCGTAGCAGTATACTGCGCGTGTGAGGACGAGTGAGATAAGCACAGATAATACCATGATGAATACCATGCGCCATGCATGGTGCACACAAAAGGCATCATCACTGACATGCATGCATGTTGCGTGTTTTGGTCCTTCCATAAAGAGAGTTAGTCATGGAAGCACTCGCCGCTCGCCACTCCGCCGCCGGAGCAGAGGCCGCCGCCGCCGCTAGTCGGCATCACGCTGCGGCGAATCGGCAGCATGGGGGGAGCGGCGGCGGGCACGGAATGGGAGGGGATAGTAGCGGCGCAAAAGGTGGTGCAACGGCGGGCGGGCAGGGTGAATTGCCTCCATTTGCGATGAGGACAGTTCACCCCCTGCCTTACCGCCGCTGCACCACCTTTTGCACCGCTACTATTCCCTCCCGTTCCGTGCCCGCCGCCGCTCCCCCCATGCTGCGAATTAGCCGCAGCGTGATGCCGACTGATGGCGGCGGCGGCCTCTGCTCCAGCGGCGGAGTGGCAAGCGGCGAGTGCATCCATGACTGCGCTGACCCGCTTTATGCTGAATACCATGCACCACGCATGGTGCACACAGAAGGCATCATCACTCACGCGCTCCGAAAGGTTGTGTACGTGAGCGGCCCTCGCGCGCTTCGCCGCGCTGCCCTCACTCCCCTCGCGCCCCGATACGCTCGCTCCCCTCATCGACCGCTTCCCCGCCCCGCCCGCCTCCCCTGCGCCGCCGGTCCGCCTCGTGTCCGCGGATTCCTCGCGCATGTCCTGGCGGAGGGACGGCGGGGAAGAAATGAAAGTGCGACGGAAGGGCAAGGGGCAGTGAGAGTGTGGGGGGCGGGGAAGTGTGGCAGCAGGGTGAGCGTGGTTGGCGGCAGAGTAAAGGTCATGCGCGTCAAGCGCGAGGGAGGAAGATTTCGTATCCCGTGACGGGCGCACGCTGCGTCTTTGCGCATGCTTTGCGCAGACGCAGCTAATGCGCAGACGCAGCTATTGCGCGGAAGCAGCGCGCGCGGCGCACCGCGAGGCACACGCGCACCTCGGACTTGCCGCACTCGCTCCCCTCGAAGGCCTTCCTCTTCCTGCCGCCGCCCCACGCCCCCGACTCGTCCCGGCTGCCCCACGTGTTGCTGGTCCACGCGCTCCGCTCCTTCATCTCGCGCAGCGCCCTCGCCACCCGCTCCTCCCCGTTCCGCATCCCCGTTCCGCCTTCCGCCCGTCCCGGCCACATCCTGTCCGCCTCTCCCGCTCCCACGCTACCCGCCATGCTGCCCTTCCCCCTTTCCCCCACCGCCCCTGTATTTGCGCTGTTGCAGCGCATGGCGGCTGCGCCCATCCCCGTCAGCGCGCGCCCCCCCGCGCCACCCGCACTGGCGGAGTAGCTCTGCACCTGCCGCTGCCTCTCCGCACTCCCCGCCATCGACGCCGCCAGCGGCGCATACGGAACTCGTTGGCCCGCAGCGAACGCGCGATTCGGCTCCCCCGTTCCGCAGTTCCCCGCAGCCGCAGACACGTCAGCGGAACCGGTGTCCGTCATCCCGCCCAAGCCTTTCCGCATCGCGAGGCCGCCGAAGGAGCTTCCCCCATCATCACCTCCCGGAAGTTTAGCGCCACTGGCGGAACCGACTTCTCCTCCCCCCTCACCATTTCCGGCGGCTGCGCGCCCGCACCACCTGTTGGCTGGCGCTGGCACCCCACCCGCACTTACTGCTGCTTGCGCGCCGGCCGCACCTTCCCTGGGCTTGCGCGCAACGGCGTTCGACGGAGATTCGAGCGGCGGAAGCATGGAGCCGGGAGCGTTCCATTGCGCGGAGTCTCCCGCCGCTGAGCCCGCGCGGGGAGGCGCAGACCCGCGGAAGGAATGAGATAGGCCTTTGGCGTGCGCGCGGCTGTAGAGCGCGGCTGGACGGGAGAAATGAGAGAAGTTGAGCGGAGGGGAGGCGCACTTTGCGGAAGGGGAGGCAGCGGAAAGCGGCTGCGGAAGGTGGTGTGCCCCCGGCAGCTGCGCGGGCTGGCGGCGTGGCGGCTTCTCCGCGGACTGCTGCGAGGGTTCCTTAGGGAAGGGCGGCGGCAATAGCTGCGGAGAAACGGGAGCGGCCATGGCGCTGCTGCCTCGCGCTTCTTCCCCCCCGACTGCTACCGCCATACCCTCACCGTTGCTCTTCGCCCCTTCCGTTCCCCCTACTCCCGCGTCTCCAACGCTGGCCTGCGAAGGCGTTTCTAACGCAGCCTCGCCGTCGCCGCGCAGACCGCCGTCATTGGCGGCGGCGCCATCTTGATCAGGCGAGGGAGAGGCGGCAGTAGTGGCGGCGGCGGGTCCTTCGGTGGGACGGACTGCCCGCAGCGTGGAACCTGACGGCCTGCAGGCACCGTCGCCGGTTTCCGGCGATTTGACATCGGCAGCGGCGGCAGCGGCGGCGGGGGGAGCGGCGGAACCCTCGACGGAGTACTGAAGCCACGACTCCATCTCGTCCTCATCGTCGCGAAACAGCGCCGCGGCAGCGCCGTCGGTGGCGGCGCCCGCGGGGCCCAGCGCCGCCAGCAGATCGTTCTGGCTGGCGGCGGCGGGGTCGTCGAGCTCGCCGTCGCGAAGCGCGGACGCGGAAGGCAGCGCGCGGGGGGCGCTGGGCGCCGCGGGGTCGGCCGCGGAGACGGGCAGAGGCTTGGCGGGAGCGCTGGGGTCCCCAGCGGCGTTCAGCCACGCGGTATCGAGAATGTCGTGGTCGGGACTGAAGGGGGGTGGGTGGGGGGAACGGTCGGGCAGGGCGGAAGGGCGATTGGCGCAAGGGGAACGGGCGGGAGGATACAGTGAGACCGAGAGACGGAGTAGGGGCAGGTAAGGAACGAGCATGCGCGCAGATGTGCAGTGAGTGAGTGAAACAAGGAGGTGAAAGAGGGAGGCGGCGAGAAAGTGAAGGCGAGGAGGGGGAGCTGGTAGACGGGAAGTGTGGGGGAGAGTTGGCGGGCGGCGCGGGGCTTACACGAAGGCGAGGTCGTCGAAGGGGGCGGACGATCGGCGGGGCGCGCGCTGCATCACCACCCACTTGGCCTTGAGCGACGGGAAGTCGTCGGTGAACGACGCCAAGTCAGCATCTCGCGACGCCATCTCAGATCGTAAGATTCGTTCTAATCGGTGAGTTCGCTAGGGGAAGTAGTAGATACTAGCGATGGCGGCGGAACCTACACGGCGCGAATGCGGACGTCGAGGGCTTGCATGTGGTCGTGAAGGGGATAGACACACTACACGAACGGCATGCGCTACTTGGTTCAAAGAAACTAGCACTGAAGGAATGCGGAAGGCTGATCAGCTGACTAACGGAAGCTCAACTGTGGGAAAACAACAGGGAGATCAGAATTCAGGACGGACGGAGGATTTCCTCTTGGCAAGCACAGAGCAGAAGCAAACACAGCCCACAGTGTGTGCATCCAGCGCACAATGGAGCGATAGCCACTGCCGGCGTTTGGCCCATTCCCTCCACACAGAGCAGCATCTCACACTTCTCCCTCTCTGCATCGGGGTGGGGTGAGCTGGGCACTTGGCAGCCCGGCTGGACGCGGCAATGCAACGGAATGCAATGCAAGCCACCACAAGGCCTCCAATGTTGGGGCGGGGGGGGAGCGGCAAGTCACGCGCGCTGGTGGTGGTGGTGAGTGTGTAGGGGCTGCGGGAAAGGGGGAGCGATAGCAGCAGAGAAAGTACAGCGGGGGAAGCGAGGAAACGGGGAGGAGGAAAAGAAGGACGCGGTTCCGGCTGGCGAGACTGACAAACGTCAGAAACCCCCAATGGAGGAATGGCTCGAGTGGCAGTTGCATAATGATGGATTTCCGTCGCGTCGCTCTCCCGCTCGTGTTTGCTGCTTCTCTATCCAGCGCAACAGCTTTCGATGGGAAATGCATCGAGCTCGGCAGATCGCAGCCGCAAAATCAGTTCGTTCCACTGTGGAATCGAAGGTGTCCGCGCAAACACAAGGATGCATGGCTGGCAGCAGCATGCGGATCGTAGGAGAAAGGGAATATCGGTGGCTCTGGTCAGTCGGTATCAAATACGTGGCCACAGCTCCTCCAAGCTGCCCGTAACGGACAGCCTAAAAAATGAAATAACAACCCGAACAAAAGTATCTTTTCCCCACACCACAACCAACATACCGTATCCTACCAAACTGCGCCCCGATTGACTCAAAATGTAACAGATAGACAAGTGTATTTTACATATGAAGAGCTAGGAAGATGCTTACAGCTAATGATATACCAATGAAGACCTGCTCAAAATAAAACAAGCAACCCTAACTAGGAGAATAACTTGAGGGCCGAAGGCAACACAAAACTGGTTGGCCCTTGAGGGCCGAAGGCAACACAAAAGGTTGGGGCTGAGGTTGTACGCAAACTATTCATGTAAATCTGGTATATAATCAAATTTCCTTACCATGAATATCTTCATGAGCCATCATAACACATAAATGAAATATTACATATTCTGGTTAGCCAGAAAGTACCAAAATACTGAAACATAAAGTTCAAGAATCCTATGGGAATGAAAATATGATTCAATCGTTTTCTTATCCTACGTGTTGCCGATTCATCATCTTTAATTGGAAACTGATTAGTGGAAAACTCAAATGGTTGCTGCATAAGTCTGGTGTAAGGAATTTTTCGGATTCCTTACTGGGTCACACTGTACGCGTACAACCCCGATTTTCGGAAAACCAGGCTCGGTCCGCCGACCTCGCCTTCCGAGCCACTACCGCGTCGCTTTCGGGTTTCCCAACCCCGAACCTGCACCCAACCATCTCGCGACCTCGGCCTAGCTAGCTTCGCTATATTAGTCCTGGGCCTCGTTGTGTTCTCAGACGTTGTAATCACTTCCGCATTACACCTCTTCTCCGATATTTCCACACCCTTTATCTTCACGACCTGGGGTACCTATGAGAAGAAACAAGGAATGAATGAACTATGAATGAATTGGGTACAAGTACTAACCCTAATTGGGTTGTACCCCTTATGGACTACCCCACTATAGCCTACACAATATGCATGAGCTATAATGTTCTGACACACCCCCATAGGCAAAGTGGAGGAGAACAAGGGGTCACAAGACCAGTCAAGCAAAGCAAAGCAAAGCAAGCTCAGGGTGGATCACAAAGTCACCACACATTCCGAGCACAAGTTCAAGGCCACAAGGCCAGTTCACATGCAGGAGTACATATATATAAAAAAGGCTAGACAAGCAAGAGCAGGTATATATATATGTAACAGTACAAGCAAGGTCAAGAGGTGAGCAAGTGAGGCAAGGTAGGCACAAGGCCCAGCTGAGTACAGAAGCGCTGATGGTCACAAGGCGCAAGCGCCTTGGTGAAGATATCAGCAGTGTTGGCCTCAGAGGCCACGTACGCAAGACGCAGCTGACCACGCTGCTGCAGCTCACGAGCAAGAAAGTAGCGGAGAGCAATGTGCTTCGTTCTGTGCTCCAGTCGCTGCTCCCGACACAAGGCCAGCATGGCCTTGTTGTCTACGTACAGCACTGGAGGAGAACGAGGCAACTCTCCGAGGTCAGTCAGCAGGTAGGTGAGCCAGCGAAGCTCCTGTGCAGCCATGGCTCCTGCGTAGATCTCAGCCTCACAACTGGAGCCGAGAACAGAAGACGAGCGAGTAGCCCGCCACGAAACAGAGCCGGAACCAAGGCTAAAGGTGTAACCCTGTGACGACCGCTGCGTAGCCTGGTCGTCAGCCCAAGAAGCGTCTGCGTGCCCAGTAAGGACCACTGGACTCTGCCCTCCAAGCACAAGCCCCATGCCCGACGTACTGCACAAGTAGCGCAACACCCTCTTCGCTGCAGCCATGTGCTCCGGTCTGTGTCTCCCAGGAGCAACATAGCGTGCAAGAATGCTAAGAGGGTATGCAAGGTCAGGTCGTGTGCAGGTCATCAGATACATGAGGCAGCCAACAAGCTCTGGGTACGGGCCACTCGACTCTACGGACACATCCGAAGGCAGAGCTGAGAGCGAGTGGCGAGTAGGCAGAGGAGTGGCCTGAGGCGAGGAGTACGTGAAGCCGAAGCGCTGAAGGACCTGCTGCACCATGTGTGACTGAGTCAGGGTAATGGTGCGGCGTGCTCTGTCCCGAGTGATCTGCAAGCCAAGGTAGCTGCGCAGTTCACCCAGGTCAGTGCACGTGTGTCTCTTCTGCAGCTCGGACTTCACGTGGGCTAGTCCTGCAGTGTCAGCTGTGGCAAAGACCAAGTCGTCGACGTACACGAGGATGTAGAACGGCGGCAAAGAAGTGTCGGTGCGCAGAAACAGCGACGGGTCGGCAGTAGAGGGAGCAAACCCAAGAGCCGCAAGTGTAGTCCTCAGTGTGTCGTGCCACTCACGCGGTGCCTGGCGGAGACCGTAGACTGGCCGCCGTAGGCTCCACTGGGTGCCAGGAGGAAAAGACCCAGTGAAGCCAGGTGGGCGACGCAGCCAGATCTCCTCGTGCAGGCTGCCCTGCAAGAAAGCAGTGCTGAAGTCAAGAGAGTGTAGCTCGTAGTCACGGTGAGCAGCTACGTGCAGCAGTACCCGAAGAGTGGTCATCTTCGGGGTGGGAGAGAAGGTCTGAAAGTAGTCAACTCCCTGCCGCTGACTGAAGCCACGAGCCACGTAACGCGCCTTGAAGACAGGCGGAGAACCCGGCGGTCGCTTCACCCTGAAAATCCACATGCCACTGACGATGTTCGCCCCAGGAGGGGGAACAGCGTCAATGTAGGTGCCTGTGGACTTCCAGGAAGCCATCTCTGCGTCCATAGCTGCCTGCCACTGAGAGGAGTAGGGACCCTCTATCGCCTCCGCGTAAGAGCGCGGAGTCGGGATGTCAAGTGCATCCGGGTCTCCCTCAGGGGTAAGCAGTACGGACACGAGATGAGGTGAAGCAGCGGCCAAGCACTGGAACTCCTCCTGCCTGTCCTCAAGGACGTCCGTGCCAAGGGCACACTCACCCCCGACGGACGGAGGACAGACAGACTCAGACTCAGCAACAAGACTGGCGACGTAGTCTAGGCGACAGCGAGCAGCAAAGTCGACGAGCTCAGCAACTAGGGCAGACGCAGCAGTGGACTCAAAAGAAGGGTCAGTGACAACAGTAGCAAGGAGACGCGTGACAGTAGGACTGGCAGCACGAAGAGAGTCCGACTCCGGGTCGGCAAGAGCAGGAAGAGAAGACTCAGGAGGAGAAGGCAAAGGGGCACGCAGAGGAGCAGTGGACGGACGCAGAGACATCCGGTGCGTGCCAGGGACAGGAGGAGGACGCTGACGCGAACCGCGACCACTAGTGCGAGCAGCACGGACAGGCGACGCAGGGCGAGACGCAGGCTCACGACGCTCAGCAAGACCTCCAGTAGGACCAGTGTAGGGAGACGGAGCAGGCAGTGGGGAGGCCGGCTGTAACTGTAACTGCGACGGGACAGGCTGTGGACACTCTAAGGGAGGAGGAGGACCAGTGGAAGGCGGGAGACCAAGAACCTGCTGAAGGAGCGGAACGAAGTACGGCCGAGGCCGCGCGGCGACTCCAGACACAGGAGGGACAGCACCAGCACCCGTAGCAGCTCCAGCTCCAGAACCCCCAGCAGCACCAGTAGTACCCCCAGCAGGACCGCCTCCAGGACCGACAGCAGTAGCCTCCGCGCCAACACCCGCAGCAACTCCAGCTCTAGAAGTACCCGCAGGTCCAGCAGCTCCAGTACTCCCAGTACGAGCACCTCCGGGACCCGTGGCACCAGCTCCCTCAGCAGCAACAGAACCTCCAGTACCCGCAGCACCTCCAGCTCCAGCAGCTCGCCTCCAGCGCCGGGCAAACCACTCACGCAGCTCCTGGGGAGAG